AGGAATTGTAGAAGTAAGGTAGTAAGGAGGATACCACACATTTATAATGGAAGTTATAGTAAATTTATGTTAGTGTTCAGGACCGCGAATTGTAGAAGTTTAAAAAGATAGTTAGGAAGGGCCGGCGAAAGAATATGAAAGACAGCAAGGAGGCATTAAGATGATTGCCAGTGGAGAAAAATTCATCCATAGGAAATCTATCAAGAAATTTGAAGCTCATCCGTTAATTTTAAGGTGGAATCATGGTCGTCGAAATTAGTCGAAGGGATAACTTAGAGGTCCAAGTACATGAGTGAGGAAGAGCATATGGGGGCTGAGAGGACTACACCGAGAGAAATGATTTTCCAAAGGAGCATTGAAAAGTACCGAGGTAAAGTAAGAAAAAGTTATGTAAGGGAAAAGTTCACCCTTACATGCTCAAGGCCTTAAGGAAAGGGAAACAGAGTTCAAGTCAAACATACTAGAAGGTAGTATTAATCACATGGTAGCATGTCTAAGCATTGTGCGGTGTTAGCTACTATGTCGCTGACAATGAGCTAATGGTATGAACTTATAAGCAACATGGGCTTACGAGGCTCTACAATTGTAATAACCACGTGGTCATGAAACATAAGTTGTAGGATACAAGAAGCCAAATACTCTAAAGTTGCATATCTATAGCTTGGGTGGTAACACTAACAGTAAACCTTTGTACGAGAGGAAGCTTGACAGTTGCTTTGAACTAGATGAATAAGATATTAAACAAAAAGGGGCATTGACGAGCAAGTTGAAGGCTCACCATGGACGTTTATGTCATCGAGTTTTAGGAGATGTATTAACATTCATGATAAGGGGAACATCTTAGGTCAATGTCTTGGCGAATTACTAGATGAAGTTATCACTTCTCATATCCTAAATAGGGCTGGGTAGGAGCCTATTTTCCTTCAAGTTGTTTAAGGAATCATAAGAGGAGACCTTAAGTTGACTCATTGATAATATGACAATCTGAGAATCCACTACAAGGTTGAAATTGCTAATGAAGGGGGATACAACAAGTTGTATTGACCAAGTAAGTGAGAGAAGGTTAGAGGCAAAAGGATGTCTAATGGGGGTATATAGATTAGGATAGACGTTCACTGAAAGTATAAAGGGGCAAGCAATGGGTGAACTACTAGTGTACTAGAATCACATTTGATTGGAGGGAAGGATTTATAGCTCAATGTCGTAGAAGTTAAAGGGGGTACAATTCCTTGTAAAGATAATTATTAAAAGTGAGGCTTGGGGTCATCATAAGGCAAATTTTGTTGGCGAAATTTTATAAGTGGGGTGGAAATGTGATACCTCGATTTGGATCTAGATTCAATAAGAAACTACTGAATGAGTTGGATAGCGAATCATATTGAATTGAAATTTTGTTTCATCATACAACCCGGCCTAATTGCAAAATTAAAAGGGCAATGAGTCACTCAAAGTTACACTAGTGCTACAAGCTAGGTGAGGATACCTATGATGGTCAAAATGAAATATAAGAGGTACAGTGAACTATGCAGGATGAGCAAGGGTTACCAATGAAGTTATTATAGTCAGAATGAATGATCATGGGAAGGAAGTACAAGAAGGATGTTAACGAAAGTGGCTTAAGGTTTCTTCATCAAAGGAGCTAAGGAACCACCACTTAAGAGCTGAGTGTAAAGGGAGTAAATTCGATGCCTGATAGACCGATAATTGCACATGTTTTTACCCCTATTCTTGAGCCGTTTGAGATGTTGATGCTCGTGTTTTAAGCCGATTTCACGCTAGGTTGTGCGTTTATGTCGTATTTCAGGGCTTAGCATTGGCATCGAGGCGAAGGAACGAGATTCGGGTCGAAAGGAGCAAGTGAGGCTTGAAGTGTGCTGGAGAGCAAAAATACCCGGCCATGAGCAGAAATACCCATTCGGGTATTATCTGGCCATGGTCGGGGATTTTAAGCTTTGGGCGTCCGTGAGAAACAGAAGGAGGCCCGGACAGGAGGCGAAAATCCCCGGTCGGGGATTATTGGCCATGACCGGGGATTTCCCCTGAGGCAAAACGGCGCGTTTAGCACATACCCGGTCAACACCCAAAATACCCGACCGGGTATTTCGATTGGGTATCGCGATCATCAGCTTTTTAAAGGAAAAGAAGGCTAAAAATCAAGGGTTCCGAGTTTTAGAGAGACAGAGCGATTCCTAGAGACGGAAAGCGACGAACCAGAGTTCCCAAGTGCCCTAGCTTGATCTTCATCACCATTGGAGCCCAGCTTGAGTTTGGAGAAGTGCCGATCGCTGACCAGGAGCAGAAACTCATCCTTCACAGTATGATTTCCGCATCTGAATCTGCTTTTGCTTCCCTCTCCACAGAGTAGTTTTCCCATTCATCTGGGTATGGAGAACCCTAGATTTGTATGTTAGGTCTGATTGTATGAACCCAAATACAGATTTTATGATTTGATTATATTCGATTGAGGCTTGAATGATTGAATGACTTGAATCCTGATCAAATTCCTGTTGTTTCTGCTTTAACCTAGAAAAAGAATATCTGCCTAGGTTGATAGAGCACCCTTAATTGAAGGTAGTGAATTGGCGACTTTAGTCGAGTCGCCAATTAACTATTCTGTACCAAATTCAATTCGGTAGTGGAGGTTTGGTTCGTTAGGGCCTCAATCTGTTTACTCCGGTGGAGGTTAGTCGCCCGCTGGAGACTCAGATTGAGAGGGTTTGGAGACCTTTAGTCGAGACTTCAGACTGTTTAAGAACCTTCCGCAGTATAACTTTCATGAAAACTGAACTTGGTAAATTGCAATCCGGCTTAACTGCAGTCTAGGGGGAACCATATCTGGGTGACCTCTCTCGACTTGAAAACAACCGTTTAACTTGCTTTGTTTGTTTGTTAATTTGACTTGCACTAAAGTTTCACTGCTAGATAATAAGAATTCACTGAGTAGTCATCAAATCTAGGACCCGGGTTGACATTAAAACCCAAACCAGCTATACTACGCTTTAGGAAGTGGTTACACTTGGCCAATTTCTAGAGTGACAGTAGGAGTGAGTCAATGCCGTGTTTTTAAGTTTAAACTTTATGATTTCAAGCTTTCAGTTACGCATTATATTTTCTTGAAATGCATGTTTGATGATCTTTTTTTCCTATAAAATTGAACTATGGGAATTGAGAATGTATGAGGCCTATGTATGTATTTTGAGGTAACCCACCGCCTACAGAAGGTGTGGACAGAATTTTGAGTGACTTCACCGCCTAATGAAGGTGAAGTTGATGTGTAGGTGATGTGATGGGATGTGATAAGTGAGTGTTAGTAAGGAAATGAAACCCTCGGGTGTCTGGATCACTACTGGACGGTGATACGATACACAATATTTGATTAGGCATGGTACCGGACGACGATTCTAAATGCCCTCCATTTCCTAGGAGCTTATGACACCAGACGATGTTACAAACGAGATGGTTATAGGTTAAGGAGTGTCTAGTTTTGAGGTTAAGGATGGAGAATAATTGCAACTCCTACAGGTTCTTTTAAAATGATAAAATTAAAGGAAGGGAGTAAGAACATCTCCTGCAAGGAAAAAGGCAAATAATTAAGGTTTCTTTGATTATAATGTTTGAGTTTTGAGGGTGGTGAGTTATAACAACTCCCACATGTTTAAATGTTAATGCTAAAAGGGTGGAAATATAAACAACTTCCAAAAGTTTGTTAGGTGAACACTTAAGGGGGAAATCTTAAGTGCTTTGAGGTTTTAGTAACGGTGTAGACTGACCCCTTCTCACTCACCAGGTAGAGGAAGGGTTAGAGGTCGAGTCACTCAAGAGGAGATAGTGCAAGACGAGCATCATCATCATCATTGAAGATGTCTCAAGAAGGATCATAGTAAGAAGCCTAGTGGGAATGGTTTTAGTTGTTTTGTTTCATGATTATGAGTATAAACTAGAGATTCACAGTTTGTGTTTTAAGATTTATGGATTTAAAGTTGCCCAAGTGTTTAGGGCTTTACATTTGAGTTATAAGAAATGATTCAGTATTGTTTCTTGGTTTTCTCTGCTTTAATTTTTAAGAAGTTTTACTCTACCACGGATCAACTGTTTTATATTTTTTTGTTAAAAGGATTAGGATGTTACAAAAACTCTCAATGGTGTCGCTCTAGGAAGGAAAAGTTGAAGCCATGAGCTCCTTGTATCACAAAGTTGTTGTCCTTTCAAAGAATACGTGAACAAGAAAATGTTGGTGTGGTTTTGATCATACCCTGGCAATTTCTCAATATTGGTGAAGCACATGAAATTCCTCAAGTTGGTGAACGCACATTCATCCTCTTTTTCTTGAAATCAAGGTCTTTGGTGAAGGGTGAAGATAGTTTTTCTAATAATGGTATCCAACTGAATTCCCTCCATCATGGAATGATACTTGAGATGATCTACTGTGAAAACACAACCTCGAACAATAGTTATGCACAAAGTGGGATAACAAAAACAAAACAAGATAAAAATACTATACATATAAGCATAAACGTAAGACTAAACTAACAATTAGTCTTAAGGTACTCAAATCCAGTCTAACCCTCAAATTCTAACCTAGGTCTGTGACTCAGTTGTAGGCTAGTAGGGAAGAGTTGGAGAGATAAGTCACATCATAATCAAGCATAAATGAAGCATATAATCGCTAAAACAAACAAATCTATACACAAACCCTAACACAATTACATCTACATTCAAAACCTAAATCTAGTGTTTGGGGGTTTTAACCCCTAGTACCTTAGAGGACTACTCCATAAAGAAGGGAAGAAGATACATGTAGATGTTAGCCATATCGAAACAAAAATAAAAAAATTATGAGACATAGATTTACGTGGTATCCCGGAAAGGTTGAGGACTAATCCACGTGAGTGTATGAACACTCTCCAAGCTATAGTTTGTGATTGCTTAGCCCGTCCAACATGATACATAGTTACAATATATACTGCAGAGGGAGGAGAAACCCTACTCGGCCAACACCTATGTACAACCCTGCCATATGGGAATGGGCCAATGAGATGGACCGTATATGCTCTAACAGCCTCCCCCAAATTGATGTTGGTCTCAAAGCATCAATTTGCTAGTGAGAAACCAGTGAAGACTCGTAGTGAATGACTTAGTGAGCAAATCGGCCACCGGATCTTCAGTAGGAATGTAGTGAAGCTGAATACAGTCAACACGAACCAAGTCACGTATGTAGTGGATTTGGACCTCATGTGCTTCGTTCGGTTATGGAAGACGTGATTAACAAAAATTTGGATGGCACTGGTGTTGTCAACATGCAGTACCATGGGAGAGCGAATGGTGACCCCAAGATCGGCTAGCAGGCGATGCAACCATTCCATCTTAGACCTAGACATTATTTTACTAACCCCTAGGAATAATAGTTTATTGTCTTTGATTCTCTCAATAAGACATGCCTCCGGTTGAAACACAACCCTATTAGTTGTACAACATAATTGACAGATAGATAGCAAGCTGTGCTTAAGATTATCAACAATTATCACTTTAGTAAAGGTAGGATTTGGAGGCTCTCCAATCGTCCCAACCCCAAGTATTCTACCTTTACTATTATCACCAAAGGTTACTTTACCTCCCTTTTTAAGAGTCAACTCTGAAAAGAGGCTCTTGTTTCTCGTCATATGATGAGAGCGTCCTCTATCTAGATACCATTCATTTGCTCCTGGTCTCTTAATGACTTGCAAAATATTTAGAGTGTTGATTTTGGTACCCACACTTGCTTGGGTCCCTTTTTCTTGGGATACGATTGATATGATTCATAATAGTTATTGTAGTAGCAATTCCTCCTAATGTTCCTTGTTTATGACAATAATATCATACAATTCTTGAATAGCATTCTTATTTAGCATGTCCTCTTCTAGTACATTTACTACACCTCACGTTTTTCTTGTATTCTTTACTCTGATGACTCTTTCCACAATTCATGCATCTAATTTTGTCATTATCTTCACTATGAGCATCGCATTCAACCCACATAGTTGATTTATTGTGAGGCTTTTGCACCTTTTTCTTTAGACTTCTTTTCCATGTGTTTTCCTTCTAATCGCTCTATCTTAGTATTTGGTTTGAGAAGTTTAGTTTTAGAGTCTATTACCATTCTTTCAAGTTCATTATTTCTAACTCTTAATTCTTCTAGCTCTTCAAGAGTTTTATTATTCTTGGATTTACCTTTTAATTTCTTCAGAACTTGATTTGCATCGCTTAGTGTTGCAATATCCTCTTTTAATTCCTTAATTTCATTCTTACTTAATCTAAAATCCTCTTTTACTTTGTAGTACCTATCTTTTAGTTTCTCAAAATGATTTTGCATTTCTTCATAATCTTCAACTATACTACGAAGATTTGAGCCACAATCACTATCATAAGTTGGAAAGAATGAATATACCTCATCTCCTAGTGATCTTGACGAAGAGGATCCATCATCACGATTGGCAAATGCCATATAGCCTTGTATTTCACTTTCGTCATATTCACTTTCATCTTCTGATCCACTCCAAGCCACTGCATAGGCTTTTTCTCTACTCTGTCCTTTGTTAGGACATTCAGCCCTTACATGGCCGCTTTTTCCACACTTGTAACATTTTGGTAACCCTTGATCTTCACAATCACTTTCCATTTGATTTTTCTTCTTTGAATATAAGAAGATTTTAACTTTCCATTTCTGTTATTCTCACAAAAATAGAAGGAGCTACCCCCTTCCTTGTTTTCTTTCTAATTTTAAAAACTTTTTGAAATTTTTAGAAATGAGAGCAAATCCTTGATCGAAATCATCTCCTGATCCTTCATCATTTGTGACTCTTTTCTCGGAAGCCTTAAATGCTAAACTTTTATTTTTCTTGTTATTATACTCGTCGCCTTGAGCTTTTAAGTCAATTTTGACTACTTAGGGATCCTATAAGATTTTCTATACTAAGAGTAGATAATGTTTTCGCCTCTTCTATAGCAGTTTTCCTAGGCATCCATTCTTTGGGTAAACACCAAAGAATTTCCTGACCAACTCAGCATTGTCATTAAGTTTTTCCTAGAGCGCTCAGTCTACTTACTATTAAGTTAAACTGAACATACATATCAGTAATAGACTCACCTGGGTGCATTTTGAACATTTGATATTCATGCACCAATTGATATATCCTGGATTCCTTTACCTCGGTTGTCCCTTCATGTGATACTTCCAAGGTTTTCCAGATCTAATGTGTCGTCTTACACCGATTCACCTTATTGAATTCATCTGGACATATCACACAATATAAAAATTTGTTGCCTTAGCATCTAATTCCATCTTCTTTAGATCATCGTTTGACCATGTTTTGGGATCATATTTAATATCACACACACCTTTCTCCACCACATTCCAAACTCAAAAACCCATTCCCTTGAAGAAAACAATCATACGTGTTTCCCAAAGAGATAGTTGTATCCATTAAACCATGGTGGTCTATTATGTGAGAAACCCTCCATATGAGTGGAGTTGGATCCATGATTCAAAGATGACCCACTAGCCATGTTTGGCATATCGGATCTCAGTTTCCTCGCGGATCTTTCGATCTGTTGAGGGAGCTGGGATGTTATACCACTTGTTAGAGCAATCGGAGTCAGTAATGAATACTTTTGACGTGGTCAATACACAAATTAATTCAGATTTCAATAGTGAGAGATTAGCAATAGCTTATTTGAGCTACCCAAAATGGTTTATCAAGAATCTCTCTTGAAATGATTAATTTGTTATGACAAACTTGTTCCAACTATGATAGAAGTTTACACTTTGCAAAATTGGAAGGAACACAATTAGAGGAAGTGTAGAGAGAGATAGAGATGAGTCGGGACACACGATTTTAACGTGGTTCGGCCAATATGGCTTTACATATTGGAGATAGTCACCACTATCTCACGAGAGACTCCAACTTTTAATAAAATAAAAGACTCTCTAACCTATTAAATAAAAATAACCTTGACACCAAGTGTCAAGAACCAAATAGGTGAAAATCCACACCTATTCAACCCATAGCTAAATCCAAGTTAAGCTACCCACTCACTCAATCAAGCCAACACTCTTAGTTTGACTTGATTGAAGAGTAATCCACCTAGTGCAACTTCCGAGCAAGAATTCCCTCTTTCTCTTGCACTAGTCCCAATTACTAATACCCTTTCTACCCTAAAACCCGACCTAGCTTGACTATCTGAACTTCCAAGATATCAAGCTACTCACACCACGAAATATGATCACACTATTTCGCTATTACAAGGGAGAAGAGAACTTTGCAAAAGGTACTCTAGCCTACAAATGACTCTACTTTTTATAGTGGATATGAGACTTCATTTCCTTTCATTTGTAGTCCTTTGCGTGGAAAGTATCTCCTTGATTTGATACACTCTTCGATTTATATGGTAACTCCTTTGAGGGCAAGTAATCACTTTGAATTCTTTCCTTTTACTAGCAAATCCCTTCACCTTAACCTTGATTGTGATATTTCTGCATGGATTGTTAGTAGCATATATCCAAAGCAAAATATCCTACGATATTCAAAACGCTAAGTCAAGTTTGTTGACTCAACACAGATCTATGCACTTCAATACCAAGAAAATAAGAGAGAGAGCCGAGATCTTTAAGGCTAAAGGTAGTATGCAGGTTCGCCTTAAGCTGATCAATACCAATATAATCATCCCCTATGACGATCATGTCATCGACGTAAATCAGCAGGACAACCCGGACGTGAGGAGTGGTATGAGTGAACAAGGAGGGATCATTTTGGCTCTGCTGAAACCCGAATCCCAAGATAGTTTGCTGAAATTTTACGAACCAGGCCTAGGGAGCTTCCTTCAAGCCATATAATGATCGATGAAGTAGAGAAACCTGGATAGGAGATCCGTGCGGGTAACCAAGGGGAATCTCCATGTACACAACCTCCTTCAAGTCGCCGTGAAGGAATGGATTCTTAATGTCGAGTTCGAACAGATGACAATGGAGAAGGGCAGCCTCTGCTAGCAATGTACGAACAGTCTGCATCTTAGCCACAAGTGCGAAAGTCTCATTGAAATCTATCCCATACGCCTAGGTGAAGCCCTGGGCCACAACCCGAGCCTTATATTGCTCTAGACTACCATGAGGATGATACTTAAGATTATAGAGCCAACGATAACCAATGACAGGAACTTCTGGTAGGGGACAATAACCAATTGTCCATGTACGATTCGCGTCTAGGGAGGTGAACTCCTCGGTCATGGCGCGGTCCCAATGAGGATTGCCCTTGGCTTGGGAGTACCTCATAGGGATGGGGATAGAGTCCACATCATTGGCAATATAGTCACCAAAAAGAATAGGAGGTTGGCCAAAGTTTACTCGGCTGAACTTACAAGTAACTTCAGGCGGAGGAGGAGGTGAATCCGCCGAGCTATAGGAAGAAGTTGAACTTGCTGGAAATGATGAACTGATCATCGGGGTGGACATGGATGCAGAACTGTGAGGCATCGAGGTGGACATGGAGTCGGAACTAGACGTCGAGGGCGACGCAGAACTAGACAGAGCGAATGAGGGCGAGGTGGGGGGAGGCAGCTCGGGAGGGAGATCATCATCAACAAGCTCAAGCTCTTTTCCAAAGGAGGGCAAATGAGTCGAGGAAAACAATAAGGACTCGGATGAGGACGACTAATAGAACATGACATTTTCGAAGAAAACTACATGACATGATATCCTAATAGGACCAAGGGAGGGATCAAAGCACAAATACCCCTTGTGAATGTCACTGTAACCAAGGAATGCACATCGAACATTTTTAGAGGATAGTTTATGATGCTCACGACAAGGAAGAAGGACAAAACACAGATACCCAAAGACACGAAGGCAAGAGTACGGGGGATGTGAGGCATAAAGGGCAAAGTATGGGCTCTAGTTTTTTTTCAAAACAAAAGTGACTTGGTGATTAATCAGTCTAACTGTAGTAGCAACCGCTTTAGGCAAAAAACGAGTGGGTACAGACGAGGAGAGAAGAAGAGCTCGTGTTAACTTAACCGAATGGCAATTTTTCCGTTCCACTATGCCATTCTGTTGCGAGACACCTGGGCATGATATTTGGCACAAAATTCCATGTGCTTTTCAATACTCTAGCAATGGGGTTGAGCTTAATTCGCTACCAGGATCCGATCTAAGAATTTTTACAGTGTTGCCAAATTGGGTACGAATCATGGTAAAAAACTAAGTAGTACCTCATATACGTCATATTTGAGGTGAAGAAAATAAACCCACATGCAACGAGTGACATGGTCAATTAAAAGGGCAAAGTACTTATAGCCATTGCGAGAAGTAACGGGGGAAGGCCCCCACAAATCCGTATGGACCAGATGAAATGGTTAAGCAATGATCGTGCTACTTGAGGGAAAAGAGATACTTTTGTCCTTGGCCTCAACACAACTGGAACAAGGCAGTGAAGAAGAACAAGTGACTGATTTATTACCAAGTAACTGTTGTTTAAACATCAATTGTAAATGACTCGAGTTTGGGTGACCTAAACGGTTATGCCAAAGATGCCACTGACTATCTGATTGACTAGAGAAAACCACAAGGGGACTTGGGATGGAAACAGGACAAGTCACACTAGACACCTAGGAAAATGATGACGCAGTGGTAGACACAAAGATAAGTGGACAACCTTGACTCGAGAGCTCCTCCAAGGTAAATGTACGACCTGTCTTACTCCCTCTTTCGATCAGCCTCCCCGTTGTCAGTTCCTGCACAAAACACCCAGAAGGTGCGAACAATACCGAGCAGTTATCATCAACCAGTTGGCTCACGGAAACGAGATTAGGGTGAAGTTTGGGAACATGAAGCACATTATTCAAATTAACCCGCGACTGTCTAATGGACCCAAGCCCTGTAACAGGTATGTGTCCACCATTCGCCACTTGGATTTTATTAGCAACCGGTTTAACATGCCATAGAGACGAGGAATCACTTGTCATCTGACTAAGACAAGCTGAGTCTAGGAGCCAAGGTCTAGCTTTACCTAAGACTTGGAGCACCGTAAAAGCAGTGTTGATGGCGACGAGAAGGGACTTCTGAAGGGCAATGTGAATAAGCTTCATCAATTCAATTCTTCTAATTAAATATACAACTAATCCAATTCATTTAAATCCGAATCACAAGGCTTATGTGTTATGTCTCTCTAGTTTATAGTTTGCACATGCATGGATACCATGTGTTCAATGAATGTGGGTTGTCGAAATTCGAACACAAGGCCACTCGATCATCAAAGGCTTTTACATAATGTCAAGAACCATTTGATCCTAATAATCCGAGTTATTTGAAAAGTTCCAATTATTCCTCTTATATCATTTACTTACATTTAAATGTACACAATGCATTATTATTTTTTAATAACATTAATTAATTGTTCCCATTACTTAGTAGGTTACAATAATAGGTGACAGTAAGATAGATTAGCAAAACTTTAGGTAACAGTAACCTTACTTCTCATTTATATCTACAAAATATATAACGGCAAAACATGAGTTGAAATTGTCCTATATTTCAAATTTCGTGGGCTGAGAGTGATTCTAGGAAGGTCATTTTTGTCACTGCACACAAATCATCTTTATATATTAAAATTGTTATCATTGGAGTTCGAACAATGCTCACTTAATAAATGAAAGAGAGAGCATTATAACCAACTAGGATACATTGGATTATTGTTATTTCTTTGATTATGTTCGGTGATGATGCTTCTATATTTATGTTTTACCTTAATTTTTTATATTTTATAGAGAGAGGTTAGTTCTAAATCAGAACTCAAGTAACATTGATTCAAACATTAATATAAAATTATAAGCGCAGTTTAGTTTAGACAAAATAGAAAAGTATATTTTACTCTCTATAATAATTAATTTAATCTTCATATTTGTGATGTTTGAAATATTTTATATATGATTTAGAGGTATACTTATTATTTGTGGCATCAATGGTAGTTGGTTCAAATATAGTATTACATCATGTAGTCAAAATCTAATATTGGGTGCATTTATGAATGGTTTTTATTTATTTTGGTGTTGTGAATAGGTAGAAACTTAATTATTAGAATGAATATATGATATAACTATACCTAGGCACATGGTTGAGCTAGCACGACACAATTACCGCATACCATGAGTACAATATATATGGATCAGCCCTATACAAACATGAATGTTTCATGAGTCCTACCACACTTAAACTTCAAAGGCTCGCGCACAATTGCGAGCACCACACAGTTTATATTGGTGAACTTATGTTTTATGGACAAATGCGCCATATGATAAAAATAAAACAAAATACTCTAAAGATAATATATAAATTTTGAATTAATGAGTAGATATTCATATCATATCAACGTGTGACAACTCATATTCTATAAGGTTTATTAAATACATTCATTATTTATTTTGAGACTCTAATTTTTACAATGTATACAGCTATACACTCATTTATAAAATAATTCTTGATTAACTTCTTAGCGTAAAAGTCTTTTGTACAGCTTGTAGTAATAACAAACAACTTTAACAATAACTTTAGAAGTAAGTAAAGTGAAGAAGAAATTGAAATTTAGTATCACTTTACAAATGTTTGTGTGTTTGAGCCTTTGAGTGAGGGGAGATTTTTTTGGTCTATTTTTTTTTTTTTTTTTTGAAGAAGGGGTTGAAACTCATATATCATTTGTTCAAATATTGCATATTGAATTGCAGTATTGAACATTTAGAAGCGATATATAATTTTTAAATTAGTATTAATTTAACTCCGGTTGACCAATAGCCTTAAATCTCTTGCTAATCTGACATTATTAGACCCAATAATCATAAGATGATATTTAGTTTGATGTGTCGGTTAAAAACCATGTTTTATGTGTAATTAATTTGTACAATAAATACATGTAAATAAGTAAAGATTAACCTGATTATTTATTTTGATTCTTTAGATAACTCAATTTTTTTAAGGGATAAACTAATTATACACTCAATCGATTGGTTTAACGAGTTTCTTTTTATCACTTTATGTAATTAGTTTAGTCACATGCTATCAAACTGCTTTGCTCCGACAAAGAATAAGCAATCAACTGCTCGCCAAATTTCAGGGGCTCTGATTCACACTATTGACTGTGCATGGAGAGGAAGCATTTCGAACGCAAAATTGGAGAAGTAATTGGGATGTTTATAGGTTTCTCTCGATTACAGATGACGGGAAGAAAGAGCAAGGGAATGGGGACAATGGCGAGATACAAAGCTCAGAGAGAGATGAAAGAACAAACGAAAAAAGAAAGAGAAAGGCATAGAGTGAGTGAGATGACACATTTAAAAGAGGGGGGAAATGAGGTAGTGTGAAATAATTGTTCTTCTGCTTTGATTAGTGAGTATTGTTGATCTTATTTTGTTGAGTTTTGCTTTATTTTAGGAGATGACATTATATTTGATAGATTTTTTCCATTTCAATTTAGAATCCTAAATCAATATTATCGTTTAGATGATTTTCTCTTGATACGATTATCCCATGAAAAAATGGAGAAAAGGCTAGGCTCTCAGTGGGTTATGGAAAACCTCTCAAGAATATGAAGTTTCCTTTCTTTTCTAGGTCCTTGTTCTTCCCTCTTGGATTGTGTGTTTGTTGGAATTGTCTGTGGTGGCTGGGAAGCTTTTGTTTATCCTTTTCTTTCTTGGGACCGCCCTTTCTGTACCCTGTTCCTTTTGTTTGATTTTTTGTTTTGGCTTTCACTCTGAAGCCATTATTTTGGTCTTCCTTTCTTGGTTTGTCCGTCCCGTTGGATTTTGTTTGAACAGTTTTTTATATATAAAAGCTCACCATTATAAAAAAAAATGTTATCCTTCACATTGCTCAACTAACTATTAGTGACAACTTAACATCATGCCCTATATACTTCAAATCAAGCAACTTCAGCTTAATTATCAACGATGTGGTAAAAAGGAATACACTCTATTGGGAAAAACTTAAAGGACAAATTGAATTCTATGAGAGACATTTTCTTTCAACCTAAAGGTTGATTATGTAATGAAAGACAATTAATTATATTTATTTCTTTTTTCATTCAATAATTATATGTGATGTTTATATCATATTTTTCTCTTTTCATGGAGGTCTAAACACATTATGCATAGTTGGATCACTTTCAAAAATGTTAGGTGCATAACTAAGGTATAAAACACTCATTTCATGCATTTCAAATTATCTATTACATCGATTACCTATACCATATTTCTCGACAAAATTCTTCCGACCAACGGGTCGGATACGTGCTAGTATATATATATATATATATATATATATATATATATATATATATATATATATATATATATATATATATATATGGTGCCTTTGATACATTGAGTATAAAAACGCTATCTAGACATCGAATTAGCAGGATTTTTGGGCATAATACTATACCCTAACCCTTAATGAGTGAACCCTAGGTCCTAATTATCTAAATCATAAACTATAAACCCTAAAATGGTGCATTACTAGTTCTGAGCTGCAATTGTATTTGGTTGATCCTTTGATACCTGCTTTTGGGGACATTGATGGAGTCTCTAAGCTGCTTCCTTTTGATGTCTTGAAATATTGGAAGGACCATCAATTTCGATTTCCTCACCTCTCTAGAATGGCAAAGGATGTACTTTCTATTTCAATTTCATCATTTGCATCAGAGTCTTCTTTTAGTTTGGGAGGAAGAATATTAACAAAATGGAGAACTTTAATTTTGTCTGATACTCTTGAAGCTGTTGTGACAACTCGTAATTGGATACAAGGATACCAAATGGGTAAGATAAAACAAACTGTTATATTTGTACCGAACACACTATTCTCTTTTCCTTATCAAATTTTTTTCCACCGATTAATTGTACAAATGATGATGATGAAGATACGAGGGATGATGGAGAAGAAGTAAAGCTTCTAGAGTGATCGTCATTTGAAATGTCAATTTGTTTTTTGGACCTGTTTTTATTGATATTTGAGGTCTTGAGACAATATGAACTATGAGTCATGTATTCTTGTTCTGATCAGACTTTTGTGAACTATTATTAGTCTTGTTTATAATAGGACCATGATATTTGGATTTTTAAATCTTCTTATAATGTATGTCATATGCTAAGTTAATATTTTCTAATATTATGTGCACTATTAGGTTGATGATGTATCTAAATCAATATTTGATGATGTTATATGCGTTATTAGCTTGATGTTGTATCTTATTATACTAAGTTAATATTTGATGATGTAATGATCAAACTTTAGTGAACTAGGATTCAAATGTCAACTTTTTGTTTATTTTCATCGAATTCCTTCTATTATAGTAGGGTTGCGGGTTGGTCAGGTTACGGGTAGGTCAGGTTGGTTAGGTTTCGGGTTGGTCGAATTGCGGGTTGGTCGAACTGCGGTCGATCGGATTGCAGGTCGGTCGGGTACCGGGTCATTGACTTTTGTTCAAATCGAATTGCGGGCTGGTTGCGTATGGGGTTGATCGGGCAGGTTACTCGGGTTGGGTTATATTTTGACACCTCCATTTATGATGCAGGTTGCTGATGACGTATGCTTGTCCAACTGGTGCATTCTGCTATTGTACTTGTGGAAGGAGCATAATGTCCATTTTTTCAACGGCATTAAGCTTTCCTGAAGATGGGATAGCGAGCAGAGCGTCAGCGAATGCCAACTACCAGGCGCACCAGCTGAAGGTGGAACATGAAAATCTAGCCGCACCTCGATGGCGGCGGATGCTGGAATACCTGCTTCCAGGGGTGAAGTAGGTATTGGAGTTGTTCTTCGAGGTTTTGAAGGCCAAGTCATTGCAGCTACGAAGACAACGCGAGTCGCGAAAGCAATGAGGTTGGAGCTCGGTGTTCAGATTGCTAGACAATTCCAGATCACTAGTCCTATACTAGAGTCGGACAGACCAACTCAGTTATTGAAACTGAAGCTGGAGTAAAATGCACAGTATCCGGCAAATCTGGACCAATGGGAGCTGCAGACACGTCCCAAGAACAGCAAATGAAGCTTTCCATGTCATGGCACATACAAGAACTCGATTGAACGAACAAACGATTTGGGTAGATAGTGAAATTTGCGTTGTTACCGTTTCTTCTGATTAATAATATTGCCACCGATTTTGATAACAAAAAAGCAACCCTCGAGAACAATCTATACTTGGCATTTACAACACATCGATAACACAGGATTCAACAAACTGACGTAAAGCAGCAGCTGGAACCTACGGTTCTGAAGATATAAGTATAACACACTCCTCCGTTAACAATATAAACACGTAGCCCAGTAGGAGCGGCTTTTAAACATCCTATGATTCCGTTGCCAACGTTAGAAACACGGAACACATTAACAGACCGACACTACACACTAGTAGTCCCCAAACAAAGATTTCCTGCACGGACATGCGAGATACAAACGATGAAAGCAAACATCATCCATCTGAGACAAACTGACCAAGTACGGAGAACACCCGTTCTTCCTCTGCTACACATCCATGGAAGCAGCAGCCAAGATCAGTATTTCGCTTCACTCATCAGTCATTCATTCTCTCATGCCTTCTCCCCAAGAAACTCGACTTCTCAAAATTCCCCACCATGTTTAGTTTGTGGGCCAATCCTTCAAATGCAGCTGGTACCCCAGCCCTAGATAAGTCAGCTAAAAGCTTTCTGTAGTCAAGCTGAGGCATTTTCATGCCTTTCTCCGTCATTTCCTCCAAGTACCTACAAGCCTCGACTGATCTTCCTTGACTTATGATCCCTCTTATGAGGACAGCATACGAGTTATCATCAGGACAACATCCCTGGCTAATCATCTCGTCCCATACAGTGTGGCCCATGTCATAGTTTCTAATCTGAAAATAGGATTTCATGATCATGTTGTATGTATGAATAGTGGGTTCCATCCCATTCTGAATCATCTTTTTGTACACCTTCACAGCATCGTCAGGGAGCCTCCTTTGGGTCATGAGCTTAATAAGGGCATTATAGGTCTGTCCATCCGGCGAGCAGCAGCCATTTTCTTTCATCTCATTCAACAATTCAAAAACTATGTCCATCTTATTCTGGTTTCCAAACCCGGATATCAAACAAGTGTAGATTGCAGCATCTGGCTGGCATCCTGAATCGACCATTTCATCCAAGTAATCAACTGCCTCTTCCATCCTTGCTTGCTTGCACAAATGGCGGATCAGAATTGTGTAGCTCCGGACATCGGGAGATGGTCCTTTGGCCTTCATCATCTCAAACAACTTGATAGCATCAGACCTCTTGCTACTCTTCAACAAACCTTCAAGCATCACATTATGAGCAACAACATCAGGTTTAAACCCTTTCTCGATCATTTCATTCCACACTACCCCAGCCTCCACTAAATTCTTCACCTTACACCAACCGTTAAGCAAAACAGTGTAAGTCCGCAGATTCGGCGTGAACCTGTGTTCCAACCTCCCAAAAAGAACTTTCGCCTCTTTAGCAAGCTTCGCCCTACCGAGGCTATCTAGCAGAGAGTTCAAAGTCTCCACTCCAACTTTGAATTTGTACTTCTTCATCAACTCAAACATCCCAACCGCCTTTTTCCTCTCTTTGGCAGCCGCAAAGGCTCTCATAGCAATCAGAAACGTCTCTATAGTCAAAAGACCCTTTTCCCCCATATCTTCGAGCAAAGACACCATAGTCTCGAACTGGCGGGTCTTTGCCAGTATACTCATCATAGCATTGCAAGTCCTCGAGTCATGGGCAAAGCCTGGCTTCTGCCCTGCCCAGTAGAAGAACCGCAACGCTGGTTTCCTGGCATGACGGAACCTCTCCAACACATCCACAACCAAATCATGTGACAAGTTAATCCACCCACATCCATCAAGAACCGCCTCCATGTTGCGATCTAACACAAACAATTCGTCGATCATTTTGCATACCTTATCCACCTCCGCCGGATCTGCGCTCGACCTAACGCCGGAACCATTATTTCCCTCTAAATCCCCCTCAGCTTCATGAAATTGGAGATCTAAATCAGAACCCCCAACGGAGAAGCTACAGAAGCGACAGGCAATCGATTCTGGAACTAGCAGTGTTTCTTGAATATGCGAGAGACGAGGGGAGTGTGGCAGAAGAGGCGGTATTTGACGATGAGAATTACGGAGACGACGATTAGGATAAGAGTGATGAGAACGAGACAGGGACAGAGAGCTACCACGAAGCAGCTGCATTTGCTCTCCCCGCCGCAGTCTCCGTCGCCGCCCTCTGTCTTCTCTTTGTCCGAGATCCAGAGGGAGTAGCTTGGAACTGGAGGTGGAACGGAGTTGGCCATGGCTATTTGACAGAGGTTCCGATGACCGACACAACTGGTGGAGCAACCTGCGGCGGCTTACTATTGGGAGAGCCATTTAGCAGCCATGAAAGACACAGCAAGGATAAATGGAAAACGAGGAAAGGAAGCTCTCGGATTCACCGTTCACGGGATATGAAACCGAGTGGCGAGTGGTTACAACGATAACTATTATGAAATAATGTAGGGGTACAAACGAGATTTAAGAAGTGGATTCATTAAATTCGTAAATTTTATAGAAAGTTATGTTTTTATTTTATTTTTGTATTGTGAATTTTAGATGTAGAGATTTCAAATCTCTAAAATTTATGGATATCAAATCTCTCATAATCAGAGAGATTCTATATCTTGATTCGTGAGATTTTTTTCTTTCTATCTTTTCTCTTTCGTTTATTTATTTATCATATTAAATATATTTACTAACAAAGTTTTTAATATTTCTCGAACTACTCTAAATTTCTATTAAGGATAAACATGTTATTTAATATAAATTTTTTATTTTTATTTTCATTGAATGTTAACAATCACAGTTACCAAACAATAAACATTTTAAAATATATTTTCAACAATCCGAAGAATTAAAATCTTTAGAGTGTTGATAATCTATAGATTTAAACTCATATTCTCCAAACGACCCCGCAGTGTTATGGATTCTACATAGATACTATTTGGGAATCAATATGAATGATTTACATAAATATAACAAAGTAAAAAGTAGGGTTAATAACATTTTGTAATTATTTATTATTGTAAATTAATAAACATAATTTTTTATTAAAGTTTTGCATAACACATTCTTCTAATATTTTTTTATCATAACCTGACATAAGCTTTTATTTGGAAGCGGTTACATTATCCAACTTTAGCGGATCAATAGTAAAAGCAAGCAGGTGTTCTAGCCAAATTAATCGTTCATTCCATCTTGTCTCTGAATGAGCCATCAGGTGTGCTGGTGAATTGCTCGTCCAAGCGCAGTGCTGTCAGTTGCCCATAACCGGCAAGTATTAGCAGATACTCCGACATAGGGTGCCAATCTCGGAATGCACAGATCTTACATCATCTATTTTCTCACAGGAGTTAGGCAATCAGACTCAAGCACCGGGTTCGTAATGCCCAATTGATGACCGATCTGAAGACCAAAATCTGCCATCACGGCATCCTAGTCCTCCGTAATCTTTTTTGTTGCCGCGAAAATACAATTACCTTTCTCGTCGCGAACAAATCCAAGACCAGCACCTCCGCTGTCCTCTTTTACTGTTGCTGCTGGTACTCAAACATGAAGGAGTTTGCTCGGCCAACAATCACATCCTTCGGGAGCTTCTTCCCATTGAATAGATGTGGTTCCGCTCCTTCCAAAACAACCAGAGTAGACATGCCCAAGCCTCTAAGGAGATATCGTCAACCGAACCCATAACCTTCATTACCTAGTTATGGGAGAGATTTGAATGATGCACTCCAAATTCGACTTGTCCACTCGCATTCCGCAAAGAAATGAATTTGCGTCTCTCGAATTCTACAAAATGTACACTTGTCACCCCACTTTCTCCTTTTAGTACTAATATGATCACCCGTCTGGAGGTGATGACTTGATATATACACATGTTTTTATGCACTATTCTTATGTCGTGTGAGCCTCATTTATTATCGTATCTTAGGCCGATTTCACACTAGGTTGTTCTCGTTTATGTTATTTTAGGTCCTAGTACGTGATTGGAGGTTTGGGAGCGAGTTTCGGGTCGATTGGACGAAAGTTGGACGTCTGGCGAGGAGCTGAGGAATCCACACGGCCAGACCTAGCAGCCACAAGGCCGTGTGGTGTGGCCGTGTGGAATCCCATTACGCGGCCAAGCCACAGTGGCCAGGTATTGGACCCCTTGTGGCCGTGTGAAAAGTCCAGGGAGCTCACACGGTCAGACTGGAAATCCACACGGCCATGTGCTTCTGGCCGTGCAGCATGCCTGAAGATCACTAATTGAAACGCGTCGTTTTCACATCCGCACGGGCATACTGGAAAGCCACACGGCCGTGTGGCCTGGCCGTGTGGTCGGGAAATTCTGGGATTTATCCCAATTTCGAGCCAAAGGAGAGGGAATCGATTTTCTGGAGCAAAACCAGAGCCCTAGAGAGAGAAAGTGCGAAGAACACCCCCCTAAGAGTGGTTTTGGAGCTGGGTTTCATCAATCAAGCTTGGAAATCATCCTTGGAGTGAAGATCATCATCCCAAATCAGATTCTTCCCATCTTGATGAGTATGATTGCTTTGTTTGCTGTTTTCCTCTCTCTCTCTCTCTATGGAGTAGAACCCTCTTTCACTTGAGTATGAAGAACCCTAGTTCTATGTGTTAGGGATCATTGTTGTAACGACGTTTGGATTGTGATATTTTTGGATTATAATCGATTGAAGTGTTTTGATTGAGTCAATTGAAGCCTGATCATCTTTTATTGATTTCTGCTGCAACCTGAGATAGATAGAATCTGATTAGGTTGTTAGAGCTTCTTCAATCGGTAGTAGTGAATCGATTATACAAGAGTTAGTCGATTCACTGCTTTGTACTGGAATTTAGTTCCAGTAGTGGAGTTCTGTGTTCATAGCCTCAGCTTTTTATTCCGGGGAAGACTAGTCGTCTGCCGGGTAGTTTGACTGAGAGGGCTTGGTCAGCTTAAGAGATTCCAAGCTACTGTCGGATCTTCCGCAGTATAATCAACAGTAAAGCAACCAAAATTAATTACAACTGTGACCTAACTAAGGAGCTAGGGGGACTCATTCCCGAGTGACTCTTCCATTGCTTTAGAAAACCAAACCATTTCTTGCTTTCTTACTGCTTTTAGTTAAAAACACAATCACTTGACTTAGTTTGCTAGATAATAAATAATCACGGAGTAGGCAGTAGATCTAGACCCCGGGTTGACAAATAGAGCTTGCCACTTACTGCATTTCCGGACTGCGATTACACTTGGTCGTAGTTTGGTGTTGTGTTTTAGCGTGTCAGGAGGACATCCCGCATGAATCGCCACATAAAGTGCTTCACTTTTAGAGCATCTCCATCAGTGCAATTGCAAAAGAAATTGCATTTGTGTTTTTTATTGTCAACTCAAATTTTTTGCAATCCACATCACATTCATTTCATTCACCTTCATCAATGCAATTAACTTGCAATTGCAAATGTAATCAAATATTATGTTTAAATTATAGAAAATTAAGTAAAAGAGAAAAGAAAATAATATAAAGTAAAAAAATCCCATTTTTTAAGGCTTTTCTGACTTGCATATGGAATTGCATTTGTTGCAAGCTTGCAAATATGCAATTGGTAGCTACATCAATGCAATTTTTTTTTCAATTGCAAACACCTATGCCATGTCATTTTGCAATTGAGAATGCAATACCAATGTGGATGCTCTTAGCGGTATTTGCAAGCCCCAAAGCTTTTTCCAGGTACTAGTGTCTCCGAAAGAAGTAAATCTACCCTACTCCATGCAGTCTTGGACCCGTTGGTAATATCCTCCCTCAATAGGGTACTCACCTACCTTATCATCTGGCAAAATAAAACGGTCAGGTTCTCCACAATCATGTAGAGGAATCTGTTGAATTATGGCATCGGTCGACGCGGGGAAGCAACTATGCAGAAGGTTTTCGTCCCACTTCTCTTCCTCTGGCATATTAGATCACAGACCACTGAGTCAACCAAGAAGCCCATCAGGCTGAATCAATAAAACCACCTTTTTCCTTTAGCAACCATTTGTCTCCCCATATCCTATCACTCGGCCCAACTCTGATATTCCAACGCAATCCATTGTTTAAGAATTCCTAAGCACTCAGTAGGCTACGCAAGATGAAGCTCGAACTGTGCCCAAGGCGTGCATCAAAAATATAAGCATTCTTGTGATATTTTGCTCTGTAGATGCAGGCTATGAGGTAGTCACTCCTTTGATGTAGGCGCAGAGTTTCTTAGCAAGCAACGCGGTATTGAACCCTTCCAAACCCCTAATCGGAAACCTGAATCTTCCTTCACAGTCACCAAGCATTCTCTGTTGACCCAATATACCCCTCTCTCCGATCCTCTCTGTCCCAAGTAGAAATTAAGAATCATGCTATGGACTTCATCAGGGATCTTGTTCAGTACTTGGAAGACTGACATGGCATAGGTAAATTGTGCCTGTGCGACAGCTTTAGTAAGCGTCTCCGATCCTAACCCACACTTTTAATCCTTGAAAGATATCTTTTTTTGGATCTCCCCACCACTGTGGGTAGGCCTAGATACTTCTCATCCTTCTCCACCTCCTTCACTTCAAGTGTGCCACTCACAGTAAATCGTTGGTGTGGTTTAACATTACCACTAAAGGAAACCTCCAACTTCTGAAAGCTCATTAACTGTCCTTACTCCTATTCATAAGCTTTCAGAATGGCTTTGAGCTCCAAAATTCCTGTGCATTTTCCCTACCAAAAAACACAGAATCATAAATAAAAGATGGATCACATTCGGCGCTCCACTTGCAGGTTGGATATCATGAAACTGACCCTCCATAGCTTCCACTTTTGTGAAGGCCGCCAAGCCTTCAACACACAACAAAAACAAGTACGGATATAATGGGTCCCCTTTGGGATAGAAGCTTGATGATTGATGGCCATTCACCAGAACTAAGTAAGAGACTATTCTAACACACATCATCACCAAACTCTGCCATTTCTCAGCAAAACCCATTCTACTCATAACACCCTCCAAGAAGTGCCACTCCACTCGGTCATACGCCTATCTTCGCACCAAAAACTCTCTAACCGCCCTTCTTCTTCTTCATTGAATGAAAGCATTAAAATGCAACCATTATATTATCAGTTACATAGTGACCTGGTACAAAGGAACTCTACTCCAGGGATATCACGTGATCCAGAACACTCTTCAATCTGTTGGCCAAAACCTTTGCCACAAGCTTTTATAAGACATTACACAGGCTAATGGGTCTAAATTCCACCGGCGAAATCGGTACTTCACCTTAGGAATAACAGCGATGAGCGTATGGATAAGCTGGTCTGTCATGATTCATGTTTCGAGGATGTCAAGCA